ACCCCCAGTACGAGCACCCCCAGGACGAGCAGCTCCAGCACCCCAAACTCCAGCCGAGCCACTAGGACGGCGAAAGCGTCGGACGTACCAGTCGCGAAGCTGCTGCGGTGTGAGAGACTGCTCAGCACCCCGAACCGGAGCACCCCCAGACGCAGTAACCCGAGGCTCCGTAGGCTCAGTAGCAGCACCCCCAGGCTCAGTACCCGCAGGCTCAGTACCCGCAGGCTCAGCACCCCCAGTCGCAGCACCCCCAGGCTCAGCACCCCCAGGCGGCAAACTCTCAGGCACAGTACCCTCAGCTCCAGCACCCGTAGTCCCAGCACTCCCAGGCCCCGCACCCGCAGGCTCAGCACCCCCAGGCTCAGCACCCCCAGGCTCCGTACTCTCAGGCACCGTACCCTCAGCTCCAGCACCCTCAGTCCCAGCACCTGCCGCCCCAGCACCCCCAGGCCCAGCACCCCCAGGCTCAGCACCCCTAGGCTCAGCACTCCCAGCAGCACCACCCGCAGCAGCACCTGAGTCACCTGTGACCTCGACAGGCTCAGCGACGGGAGGAGGGTCTACCTGAGAGACACCTGAAGGAGCAGGACCCTGAGGGGGAAGGGGGTCTACCGGAGGGGGACCAGGAGCAAGGAAAAGCGGCGGGGGAGGGAGGGGGGCAGTGCGGTAGGGGAAGAGACGGTAAAAAGGGACCGACTCGTCAAAGGTGACATCCTGAGAGGCGAAGACCCGGCGCGAGGTGGGGTGGTAAAACTGCCAGCCAGGCGCGTCAGGGACAAAGCCAAGGAAGACACAGGGAAGCGTGCGGGAGGAGAGCTTGTCCGCGGACGTATCGCGGACAAGGGCACGAGCACCCCACACCCGGAAGCGCGACGCATCGCCAACCTCCCCCGTCCAACGCAGTGTGGGCGAGGTCTCCGGCAAGGAGACACGGGGCCAGAGGTTGAGCTGATGCGCGGCGTACCGGACAGCAAACGGCCACAGAAAATGGGGAGCCGCCGCGTGGACCAAGGAGGTACGAGCGACCTCCATGACCAGGCCAATGCGGCGCTCAGCAACCCCATTCTGCTGTGGGGAGTCCGGAAGCGTGAAGGTCTGCTCGATGCCCTCCGCCTGACAGAAGGTCCTCAAGAGGTCGGAGGAAAACTCACCACCTCTGTCAGAGTGCAGACGCAGGACAGGAAGATCCGTCCGGAAACGGCGGCGGAGCTGGAGACGAACCGTGCGGATCCAAGGGATCAGAACAGCAGGGACCTCACCCTTGGTGCGCAAGGGGAAGACCGTGGTGTAACGCGAGTAGTCGTCGACAACCAGCAAAAAGTACCGCTCACCGCCCTGACCACGAACGCGGGCTGGGCCCCACACGTCCAGGTGGAGGGTCTCCAGAGGAGCCTCTGTCGGGGGGAACGAGGAGGAGTGAGGGGCGGCGCGCTGCCGCCCCTCGACGCAAGGAAGGCAAGGCGGCGCAGGCGAGGCAGGGAGGGGAGGGAGGGACCTGGGAAGACCGGACACAAGGAGGCGACGGTGCATGCCACGAAGGCGTGGCAAGGAGGGGTGACCCAGGCGGTGGTGCCAGAGAAGAGTCTGGTGCGACAGGGAACGACACTCACAGGCGTGGGCCACCAGACCTGACGCAGACACCTGACCGACAGCAGCTACCTGGGGAGACGCAGTGGTCAGTGTGTAGAGACTCGACCCCGGCCGACGGGTGAACGTAGCCAGGTGACGGCCGGTCCTGGAGCACGTGCAGATCGCCACACGCTGTCCGCCAGGGGTAAAGGTGTCAACCCACTGATCCTGGAGGACAGCGTTGCTCACCAGGTTCGTCGAGAACGAGGGGAGGTGGAAACCCGACAACGAGCCAGACGGAACCGCCGGACAAGGGAGGACAGTGGTGGACTGGGCAAGGACTGGGCCCCCAGAGGGGTCAGCCAAGGAGACTGGGACCGGTGCAGGAAGCGGTGTGAGCTCAGTACTGTCACGGAAGAAGCAACGGGAAGCACCTGAGTCAAGGGTGAAGGTGTGACAGGCCTCAGCCGGTGCGGTACCTGAGAGAGGTGTCTCTGTGGGTGCTGTACCTGAGAGAGCAGACTCGAAACCAGCCGGGACAGCACTGGGGGGAGCAAGTACAGGGGGCACCATACCAGAGAGAGCAGACTCACTAGTACCCAGGGCAGCGGGCTCTATACCTGGGTCAGGCGGCACACACAAGTAACAGTCTCCCTCGGCACTAACAGTCAATGCATACATGGCAGCAATAATAGCATCATAGTCAAGAGCAAAGACATCAACACCAGCCCTCATGAGCTCAGCCCAGCGGGGGCGCTCAACATCCGCACCCATCTCCTCACGCCAAGCGTCGTCAAGGCGGGAGAAGCAGCGGTACGGGGTGTGGAACCTCCCACACGTCTGTCCCTTGCGGTCACCTGTGCGAATGACATAAGAACAGCGGGCACTGGCCCCCGACGTCCCACGCTGAGCAAGCCACTCACGAAGCTGCTGGGTCGTCTGGGGACGCTGCTGCTGCTGGGAGCTCTGGCCCGAGCCAGTGCCTCCACTCCGACCTCCGCCGCCACCACTACCACCGCTCCGACCGGCACCGCCACCACCGCCACCACCGCCACCGCCGCCACCGCCGCCGCCGCCACTACTGCCACTGGTCCCTCCGCCGCCCCCGTCTCCACCACCGACCCCACTCCCACCAGCGCTCCCGCCACCGCTCCCTCCAGCACCGCCTCCCCCCCCACCTCCCCCACCTCCTCCCCCCCCAGTGCCACCACCACCACTTTTGCCCCCCTTGCCCTTGCCGGTGCGGCGCCTCCCACCAGGAGTAGAAGCAGCGCCAACAGACTCAGCACCAAGGAAGTCAACAGCAGCAGCAGCAGCGTAGGAGGGAGCGAGGGGAGAGGGAGAACACCCCTCAAAGATGGGGGTGCGAGGAGCGCCACGAGCAGCACCGACAGCTACAATGCTCTTTTCGGCCGCGAGCAGGTGCTCCTCTAGGAGGGCGACTGTGAGCTCAGTGGGACAGCGAGCAAGGAAGTGGTCTCGAACTGAGCGGAGGGTGTCAGGGAGACGGGTGACTATGAAGTGGAGTGTCCAGTACAGTGGAGGGGGGTTCTTAGCGCAGAACTCGGTGGGAAGGGCGGCACGCAGGCGAGCATCACTAGTGCGAAGGTGGGTGATAAGATCGGCGACTGTAGTAAAGGTGGACAGATCGGGGAACAGGTACGGCAGCATGAGGCGGCTAAGCTCGGCTGTGGCAGGCGAGGAGTAGCGAGCGACGACAGCGTCGTACAGGGCCTTAGCGGATTTGCAGTCGCCAAAATGCTCTAGCTCAGCTAACGGCAGGTGACTGCGAATGGCTAGGCGAGCAGCTGCGTCACGAGTCTGCCAGTGGGAACGAACACTAAGCTCAGCTGTGGCAGGAGGGGCAGGCGCAGCACCAGACGCGTAATCATAGAGCGACACATGCTCCTTGCTATCGCTCAGGAGGAACAGCTGCAGGTCATCTAGCCAAGCGGTGAACCGCACAGGGCGGCCCTCAGCATCGAACGACAGCACGCGGATGGAAGCCATAGCGACAGTGTGACAGAGTAACGCAAGCTGCCGCAGCAGGGGAAGGCGACTGTGCACGGATAGAGAGCAGCGGGCGAGGCTGGCGCTACGGGCAGGCGGCGCTGCAAGCGGTCAGCGCGACGGGAGGGCGACGCTGCGAGCGGGCAGCACGGCGGACGGGCCGGGAAGCGGGCAGCGCGGCGGGCAGGCGGCGCTGCAAGCGGGCAGCACGGCGGGCGGGCGACGCTGCGTGGCGGGCGGGCCGCGAAGCGGGCAGCGGGCGGGCGGGCGGGCTGCGAAGCGGGCAGCGGGGCGAGCGGGCTGCGATGCGGGCGGGCCGCGAAGTGGGCAGCTAGCGGGCGGGCGGGCTGCGAAGTGGGCGGGCCGCGAAGCGGGCAGCGGGGCGAGCGGGCTGCGAAGCGGGCGGGCCGCGAAGCGGGCAGCGAGCGAGCGGGCTGCGAAGCGGGCGGGCCGCGAAGCGGGCAGCGAGCGAGCGGGCTGCGAAGCGGGCGGGCCGCGAAGCGGGCAGCGAGCGGGCGGGCGGGCTGCGTAGCGAGCGGGCCGCGAAGCGGGCAGCGAGCGGGCGAGCGGGCTGCGAAGCGGGCGGCTCGGTGAGGGGCGCGCGAGGGCGCTAGTGAAGGGGCGCGCGAGGGCGCTAGCAAGGGGCGCGCGAGGGCGCTAACGAAGGGGCGCGCGAGGGCGCTAACGAGGGTGCGCGCGAGGGCGCTAACGAGGGGCGCGCGAGGGCGCTAACGAGGGCGCACGAGGGCGCTACGAGGCTAGGGCACGGGGTAGCGTGGTAACCGCAGCGAGCGGTGGTGGGCCCTTAAAAAAAAACGGTCGGTAGGTCCTAGGGACCTCCTGCTCTGAATACCATGTCAGAATCACTAGGCAAGAATGATGAACTAGCAGAAGTTTGGGTACAAATATGAAACCCTAGTTGGGGTTGTACCCCATATTGGCTACCCCACTACAGCCTACAAGCATAATACAGTTTAACAAATGTATTTCACCTTCGCCCTGGCATACAAACCATCACATCCCATCTGCCACACCGAAGTATTTATTAGACTTCCTTCCCAACTCGAACAAAGAAAAATCACCAGTCTTGCCTACTCAGCATTTCAAAGTTAGAGAGCTACTTCAGCTCTAACATGGCTTCCCCTAGCAGTCTGTTCTTAATCCTCCCGATCATCAGCCTGGTACTGCATGTTGCAGGTGCGACTAACATGCCTACTGGCTGATGCCACACGCGCTACGTCTGCTCTTACATAGATGACATCGCTACCGCAACAATCACCGACTCCACTTACACCGACTACAGTTTCATAGGTGATTTCCAGGAGCAGTTCAACAACCAGGGCGGGCAGTTCGAGCCTCACCAGCGCGGATCGGGTCCCGTGATTTACGAGTGGTACACGGAGGTGGGGACCATTTTCGACATGGTGAAGGGCGTGTACGGCGACATGCTGCAAGAGTGCTACCGGGCATGCGCGCGTGCCACCTGTTGCTACGAGTGGCATTGGTTCAAGAAGTGAGTGCGGGTTGAGTGATCTTCAAAAACTTTCCCCGAAACGGAAGTTACTACCCTTGGAGTCGCTTTTCTCCAAAAAAACCCAGCTCGTGCGCATCGACTCAGCATGACATCCTGTGCAAGTGACTGATTTCCTTCTGCCGCTTTTCCTCGCATATCCTTCAACCCTTTATCCCCCCCACTTTCCAGCCCACGTCTCGCCGGGGAAAATGCGAATGTGGTGGGATTCAACGACCGTGTACAGTGCTACCTGCTAGAGAAGAACGGCAGCTCGGGCACATCGGGCGCTTTCAAGACGCCGTACGTGGGCGACACGACCACGCAGGTTGCGAACTTGGCGTCGTACCCGCTGAGCTTCATCGGCGGGCTCTGCAATGGCACGACGCCCGTCGGAAACGACCCGCACTTCACGAGCGCGCACGACACTCACTTCGATTTCACCGGGCGGCTCGACAAATCGTTTTGCCTCTTCTCTGACCGTCGATTCCATGTCAACATGCATTTGAACGGGTACCAAGGCTCTCCTCCCGTGCTTCCTTTGTCGGCCAAGTCGAGCGAGTCAATCACGGAGCTGAACACGTGGATTAAGGAGCTTGGCGTGGTGTGGATAACGCTCGACGATGCAAACCGCACGCTGCGCATGGTTGCGTGCAAGGGCAACCGGCAGGAGCACCAGGAAAGCAGTTTCATTTCACTCATTCAGATCGATGGCCTGCCGGCCATCCCGCCACCCGTCGGCGAGTCGATCACGACGGAAAGCGGCTGGTGGTTACCAAAATCGAAGAGGATAAAGAGGGGCCGCTCGACGTGGATCAGTTTTGGGTGCACGTGGCGGGGCTGGGGGAACTGGACGTGCGTACGCGTGGCGCACTCTCTGCTACAGACGCCGACCGAGGTGGAGGCACACTTCAATGTCGAACTTTCCAACGTAGTAATTTCGTCAGCTGTGCACGGCGTGTTGGGGCAGACTTTTAGAAACACGCCGAAGCAGCTGCAGCGCGCGGTGAAGTATTCGCACCTGGCAGCGCTGCTGCACCACCCCGTGGACGTGGATAAGGCGGAGGGCAAGGGGTTCCTGGACAGCGAGGTTGAGGACTACATCTCCTCGTCAGTTGTCGCGCCCGACTACAAGTACGCAAGTTATGGCTCGGCATAAGGTCACGTCACCAGCTTTGACGCCACCCTAGGACGTCTCAAAAAAATTTAGGCCTCTCATGTTACTTTGATCTAACCCTGAAGTAGTCCTGAGGTAACCTCCATGTAGGTTATCTCGAGGTGCTACTCAGGCTATGGTCAAATCTTACGACTTCCGTCTGAAGTGATCCTCGGATTACCTGCAGGTCGGTATTCGAAGTGACTCGGCTGTAAGCGCAAGTTCGGGAAATCGAGTCGACAGATCTGGTGCCCAATTGGCTGCCTGTTTGTAGGAAAATGTGGTTTGCTACAATGCTAGTTACCATCACTTGAAATAATTTTCAATATAGTGTACTTTTACAATCACAAATTATAATAATCGATGGTGTAGCCTTTTACTACAGATAATCTTATATAATGATTAGATGTGTACTGTACATGTTAGAAAATACATATAAACATATAAATAGCTTTCCAATTATTTGCTCTGGTTTCATTAATGCTGCTTCTGGGTATTTGCTCGCTACCATGCTTTTATCATTGCCCTTATGCTGTGTGTAAAAAGCTTTGTCTCGTGTTGTTTGTATAGCTGCGTCATCCAGGAAAATACATGGCACATTATTCATATGCACATAATTGTCAACATCCTTGCACACGGTTTTGTATATCCTAGCTTGACCATTACACTACCGGTACTTGTGCCAAAGCATTACCACATCACCATCTTTGCAGCACACACGCAGGTTGCACCAGGCAGCCTATTCTATCAATGGTCCCTAATATGTTTTTGTGTGCTTCTCAATGGCATTACACTCGTGGTTAGGTGTTAGGTGATCAAGTCGCACGGGGAGCCAGGTCTATCCCATCGTCAGATATGACAACGAAGGCGCCGCACTTGAAAGCCCAGGCCTTCAGAGAAGCCTTCCAACATGGGCCGTGCTCCTTATTCCTATCAATTATCGCGTGCCGCACCCACCCATTCAGGCAATTGTGGTACCACTACACCGTGGTCCCATTCTGAGGGCGACTTCGCTTGAGTGACGCCTTCTTCAAAAGCGGCGTCTCTACCTGCAAACAAGGCAAGCGTCATTGGGTGTTAGTACATGTAGAAGCTAGAGGGAATAAGCTATATTTCTCAATAAAAGGGCAATCTGTTTTTGCTTACCCCGAAGAGCCAAAAGGCCACTGAGTAGAGCTTCAAGACCATAGGGGGTGCCGCTCCTGTCTTGAAGGTCACGTAGAGGCCGAGATCAAAGGATTCCTTGGAGAAAGGAATCTCCGGCGTGTCTTTGTGGCATTGCCACGGCATCAGGTCGTGGGTAGTGGCACCTGTGAAAACAAAAACATCATGCGGAGTCGAGGAATGAGAGGTTCGTGTGAGTGGGGGAATGCAAGTGCGGGTTTATGAAGCACGGAGAGACGAGGCGACATGGGGGGTGGTTAGGGTTTAGGATGGTGGTCAGGGCTGGTGTGGTGGTGTAGCGGTGGGGGGTGGGAGTAAGATGTGGCATAGAGCAGTTGCAGAAGGTGCGATCCAACTCTCTTTATCTGCCTTGCTACTTAGGCTATGGTCACTAATTACCCCCCCCCTCCCCCCTTTGCTAGGGCGGGAAAACAGAGCCATTAATGGGCTCTAGGACCTCTCGCACGCCCCAGCGATCCTTCATCAGGCTCAACAAGTCCGCGCCCACCCTTCCCTCGCATTCCACACTAGATCCGGGAGCGCAGAAAACTTGCGCAAGTACTCCTAGAGGGCACAAGACAACATTGCCATGGTGGACTCAGAGTGATCTCGCAACATAACCAACGTTTGTACATGGCGGTGAAGGTGTGGATGCAGGGCGAGTATGGCCAGCCAATTAGTGATGACCCTTACACACCCCAAGGGTTTGTCAAATTGTGGAAAGAGCGAAGAAGGCCTAGGTAATGCTCGGGCAGCACAACAGCTTGGTTCAGGTACTGAGGGAGCGAGAGGAAGACCCACGGGCCAAGGCAGAGCTGGTGAGGATTCTGGGCGAGTATGGCCAGCACATATAAGACGCCCCATAAGCCCAATTCGGCTGGATAATTAAGATTGAGCGCCATTGCACGACCCATATAATGCACCCATTTCTTTTACGTCGTAACCTTATATCTGATAAATTAAACGCAGCGTGTGAAGCAGTGGAAGAGGAACTAGTATTGACGAGCAGCAGTGGAACCAGCAATGGTGGATTATTGAAAGAAATGATTTTGACATTTAACATGTTAAAGTCCAACGATGCAATAACAGTGAATCGATAGTATAGTGTTCTAGCGAAGCTTGCATGCAAGTCAACGAATGGAAACTTCCCGAAACCCTAACAAACAAGGGCACAAATTGGCACGCGCCTACTGTGCATGTCACTCTGTAGGCATGATATTACTCGGGGCCTAGATGGGGACAAGTTCAAAAGAACGTCAAATAGGTTACCCCAAGGTAGCCTGCAGCGGGGGTGTTTGAGCCCGTCACAATTCTTAAGACGCGGTCGGTATTGGAAGGGAAGGGCGAAAAAGGGTGCTGCTGTCGTCTGTGCACCCAGCCATTGCTACCTTATTAGGCTGATAAGGGCTTGTACCCTACCGGTGGAACTATTTGTGACCATTTGGTCTCTATTCTGCCTATTTAAAAGCACGAACTAAATGCATGCCACTGAAAATATCACGAGGGGAAAGTATTGAAGTTGGCTTAGAAATTTGGGTTGTGCGGGTTCCGCATAATTTTTCGCCCAACCTCTGGCGAAGAAGTCCCACTTCTCACGTTCCGTTGTTTTCGCGCTGCGCACACGATTCACAAAACGAATTCAGCATCCGCGAAACAAAATCAACCCGAACCTGGTCAAACCCACCCTTGCTTTCCCACAACATGAATGATTTGGGAAGCCCCATGCCTAGCTTAGCTTTGGGGCTCAAACTGACTAAGCGCTTCAGGCTTGCAGAATTGTCCGTGCATCAGAGTGACCCGAAACCAAGATTGGCCTACATTTTTTGCTGGAAAAAAATGCATTCAGATTACTGTATGTCAGAATGCTCTTAGAGCATTTTAAAGGTCAATGAGTTCACTTTCTCACAGAAGCACAGAACCAGCAAAAGTATCATTTAAGAGTGCCTGCAGCCTAGCTTCTATATCTGACGCTATCTTACTAATGTCTTACAACTACCCAACCATTCAACTATTAATTTTCATTCCACATCAGTGAGCAACAAAACACGGTAGCAAACCTTGTTGGCCTAAACATCATCCATGACCTCGTTAATTTGCAACAACGGCCGCGTCTATAACACATGGGTGTTAATCAGGTGGTAAGAGATAGGTTAGTGCCAAACTATGTTACATAGTTTAGTTAGGCAATAGTGAGTCGCATAATAAGGGGTACACAAGTTAGTTTCGACACTCTTCTTGTACCTCTCTCCCCTTACCCTAATCAACCATTCTCTCACCTAACTCACTTACATATGTTTCATAGTTTTTAAGATGGTATCAGAGCGATTAAGTGCAGTTGAGTGCGGAATAGTGCGGTAGAGAGCGGTCATTAGCAGATAGAAGTGGTTTGGTGCTGTGGGGAACAGATGGGCTCGTTAAGGGGCACAGGCAGCAGCGCATGGCGAAGGTACGTGAGGTTGCTGCTGCTGCGCGCGGCTCCTAGTGCGTAGGCAGCTGCGGGTGCGCGTACAGCTGCTGCTGCGCGCGTCTGCTCGTCTGCGTCGGTGTACGTAGGGCTGCGCGCGTGGCCGGTAGGGAAGGACACAGCACGTGTCGGAACGGGACACGATAGGGGTTGCAGAGGCGGTACTTCTGCGGAGCCTACTCCCCCTTCCCACCGCTACCCGACCCGTTTCCAGGAGCTTCATGCTGGAGCGAGAGGAGCAAGAGAGGTTGGAGTAGGAGAGGATGGAGTTGGAGCAGCAGCAGCAGCGGGATCTACAGCAGAGGGAGCAGCATTAGAAGGAGGGGGAGGAGGAGGAGGAGGAGGAGGAGGAGGAGGAGGAGGAGGAGGAGGAGGAGGAGGAGGAGGAGGAGGAGGAGGAGGAGGAGGAGGGGCAGCAGCAGCGGCAACGGCAGCAGCAGCAGCAGCAGTGGCAGCAGCAGCAGCAGCAGCAGCAGCAGCAGCAGCACCAGCAGCACCAGCAGCAGCACCAGCAGCAGCAGCAGCAGCAGCAGCAGCAGCAGCAGCAGCGGCAGCAGCATCAGCGGCAGCAGCAGAGGTGGCAGCGGCAGCGGCAGCAGAAGCGGCGGGGGCGGCGGCTGCGGCAGCATAAGCGGTGGGGGCGGCGGCGGCAGCAGCTGTGGCAGGGGCGGCGGCAGCGGCGGCGGCAGCGGCGGCGGCGGCAGCAGCAGCAGCAGCAGCAGCAGCAGCAGCCGGAGTAGCAGGAGCCGCATCTGCCACCTTTGTAGCAGTTGTCTCCATCAGTAAGTGGCCTTCAGACCCTTGGTCTTCCTTCCCCTCCTCTAGATTGCTCACTGTCTCCTCCTGATTACGGTCATACGTCCCCCCTCCCCGCCCCGGACTTGTCTCCAGCTGTTTTTCCTCCTCCTGGGTCACAGTAGTCTCCTCCAGTTGTCCCGCACGATTGGACGTTGTTCTCCCATCACAACTTAAGTCGTCTCTTACAGCCCCCACCTCTACTCCTATCCATGATTACCATCGTGCTGCTCGTGTCACTTGTGTTTTTGCCTCTCTAGTCACGGACCGTCATGCGTCTTCGTTATTCGTCTCGGCTCTTACTATCGCTTTCACTGACTTTGCCGCCACTCGCCATCTTGTCTGCACCACTCGAGTGGTGGCTGCTCCTCCTAACCGTTCTCAGTCCGCCTGAGGTGAGTCTTCCGTTGTTTTGTGATGTTTAGAGGACAAGTAGTTTGAGCTGGAGTTCGTGGCAGCCGCTTCTCCCCATCTTTGTGCCATGCTGCTGGCCCGTAAGGGAGACACCGACGCCCTTGACATACCGATTCTTTGCACGTCCCGTGAGGCAGTGTCAGAATAGTGGGCCTTTCAGTGGGTTGCAACCATGGAGGCAGAGATGGTGTCTTGGAGATCCACCGGCACGTACGTCGACGCAATTCCCTCGCCTGGGGCGAATGTAGTCGATTGCATGTGGATCTTCAAGGTGAAGCGGCGCTGGGATCAACGCCTGTTTTCAAGGCGCGCTATGTGGCTAGGGGCTTCAATCAGCGTGAGGGAGTTGACTTCTTCCAGACCTCTGCCCTAACCCCGAAGATGACTACTCTACAGGTGTTCCTTCATGTCGCAGCACAACGGGACTTCGAGCTGCATTCCCTCGACTTATCTACTGCCTTTCTTCGGGGCTGTCTGCACGAGAAGACTTGGATGCGTTGTCCTCTCAGATTCACTAGCACTTTCCCTTCTGGGACCCAGTGAAGTCTGTGGCAACCAGTCTACGGTCTTCACCAGGCGCACCGTAAGTGGCACGACACGCACCACTCTTGCTGACCTCCTTCGTCAGCCGGCCCGTCGTTGCTTGTTCGCACTTGTTCCACTCCGTTCTTCGTTATTGTCTACCTCGACAACCTTGTCTTCGCTACACCAAGGAGGGTCGCTCTGGTTGAGGTGAATCCAGGCTGTAGAAGAGACATACGTGCACTGACCTGGGTGAGCTGAGCCGTACCTTGGCCTGAAAATCACCAGGGACAGAGCTGCTCGCACCATTACACTCTCACAGTCACACATGGTGCAGCAGGTCCTTCAGCGATTAAATTTTAAGTTCTCCACCACACAGCCCACTCCTCTTGCCGTTGAACACAGACTCACTAACCCTTTTCCTGACGACCCTTTGACTCTAGTGGTCCATACGCATAGCTTGTGGGCTGCCTCGTGTACGTGATGAGCTGTACTCCTCCGGACCTCGCTTTTCCTCTCAGCATCCTGTCTCGCTTTGTTGTGACTGGGAGACATCGTCCTGTTCACTGAATGGCAGTTGTGAGTGTGGCGAAGTACCTGGCGACTACATCAGGCATGGGGCTTGTGCTTGGAGGGACACAGCCAGTTGTGCTGACCGGTCACTGCGACTCTTCCTACGCCGACAACATTGAGACCCATCCGTCTACTCAGGGTTTCTGCTTCAGCTTGGGCATTGGAGCTGTGTCGTCTGTGGCGTAGTCCTGCACAGAGGCAGTGCCATGGTTGTGCAGGAGCTTCACTAGTTGACCTTCTTGCTCACCAACCTTGCTGAGCAGCCAAGCTCTACATCGACCTTGTTCGCTGACAACAAGGCCATGATCCTCCTGTGTCGAGAGCCTCGACTGGAGAGCAGGGTGAAGCACTTTTAGGTAATTAATCTTGCGAGAGTTGCAGTGATGAGGCCAAGCACACTTTGATTTCGTGGAGTCAAAGGTCAACACTAAAAACATCTTCACCAAGGCTCTACTGCCTGGTGACCATCACATGTTCCGTCTGCAGCTAGGCCTTGTTGAGGCAGGCCTGGGGTTGCTGTAGTCTTGCCTCTCATTTCTTGCTCTGTTTGTACTTGCATTTATTTACACTTGTGAACTCTTGAACTAGCCTTGTGGCCACTTGCTTGTGCTCAGACTGTGTGGTGACTTTGTGATCCACCCTGAGCTTTGTCTTAGATCCAGGGAGATAATAGGGAATGAAGGGAAGAAACGGTGCTGAGTTTATTAGACGTTGGCTCCTGCTTCATCCATAGCCTTGTATACCAGAGACAGAGGGCATGATGTAACACACAGGTAGTAACCAAGTAATAATAGGGTAGTTATCCGGTTGCAAGTCACAGTTACTCTTTCAGTCACAAGGCACACTCACACTAACACTCACTGACTACTATCATACTGATCCTCACACTCACTCACCATTGTCGCACTCACCATAGTCAGTCATACTCGCACTCAAACACGACAATCACACTCACACTAACACACACTAACATTTCTTTTTACGAGGTGGTCTCCTTATCGCACCCAAATTCACATTCTTTGACCAGTTGCACTAACACATACTCACCACAGTCACAGGCTTGATATTGTTAGCAGCGCTGAGTCAAACATTTCTTTCAGCAGCATTCGCCCGCCCACCACCGACCCTGCAAGTTTCTTCCGCTCGAAAATGAGATCCACCAGGCCTACTTGCCCAACAACTTTAGGTGGAACCCCAACCAATACGAGCCTGCAGGTGGGGGAAAAGGGGGTATGTGAGATTGGGGGAAGGTAAACGTGGGACAGGTGTCACCGCATATGCACTTTATGCATATGCAAAAACAGTAGTAAAGGGTTCAAGGGAATAGTAAAGGGGATAACAGTATATGTATCTCAATAAGAATAATGCGTGATGTAGAGTGTAGCGAGGTTACTGTTTTACTAGGCGTAGAAGGAGGGAACGGAATGGGAACGAGTGGGAATTCTGGGAGGGGAAAGAATCGAAGGGCGAAATGTGTGACGAAGGGCAAAATATGTCCCAACCCCAAGCCGCGCATTGGGGAATGGGCAACACAGGATCATGGGCGGTCCCTAGAGCGATCGCCCCGGAGGCTAGCCTTCCGTGCGGATAGGAAACCCGTCGTGCCGACCCGACGAGAAGGAAATGTGGTGCGTGGCGAAGCGAACGGTAAAAGGCTCACCGCGTCGACGAGTGGCGCGCAGTGGTGGAGAAATACGTTTCATCTGGGTGGAGAAGAGCACCGCTATCACCGCGACGACGGGGTGTTCCGCTTCCCAGAGGAGGGAGGGCAGTGACGGGACGAGCGAGGTCGCTGGCGGGGAAGAGAATAGCTCCTGCGGGACCGAGGAGGAAGCTCTGGCATCAGCAGAGCTGAGGAAGATCCTCGAGTCGAGCGGACGTGGGAGGAAAATGATGAAGACGAAGCGAGGGACAAGGAGGATGAGCAGGAGTACGGTGGGGAGCAGGATATGCCACCGCCAAGAACAGAGTGGTACAGTGGCGGGGGCAAGGGCGGAGACCAGGATATGCCACCGAGTGTGGACAACCAGGGCACCTCCGCAGAGATTACAAGAATTGTGATTGTTGTGGGAAGCCGGGCTACCGCAGGCGAGAGTGTCCCGATGCTGCCAAGTGTGAGATATGCAAGAAGAAGGGACACGAGGCCAAGGACTGCTATCAGAGGGAAGGAGGAGCCAGGAGAAGCCCGGAGGAGTTGCAGCGGCAGATCAGCAGGCTGCAGGCGCAGTTGCAAGCAATAGGACCGAGATGGGGGGCTGAGGCAGGGGTGTATGCTAGAGACGAGGAGGGAGAGGTGGTGGAACAGGACGTGCAGTACGCACTCATGGCATGGAGGGGAAGAGAGGAGATGGGGCTGAGGAGCGGAGGGAAGGACGGCAGGCAGGAGCAGAGCAGGAAGGTTCGGGAGAAGAGGCAGAAATCAGAGGACCCAGTGTTGGTACCGCCGCCGGCACGACATCCACAGGAGAGGTTAGCGTGTCAGACCTCAGTGCTGCTGCTAGAAGGGGGAGCGATGGAAGTGGAAAGGGAGAAGGTGAAGATCGCCATCATAGATACGGAAGCACAGAGTGTGATGCTTGGCAAAGGGATGGCTGAGAGGCTGGGGCTCTTGGCTCCAGAAAGGCGCGTGAAAAGGGGGATGTTGGTGATGACGGCGGAAGGAGGGGAGCCGAAATAGATGCCCTGCACCCAGGCACCCATAGAGGTGACACTGCTGCCAGGAGGGGAACACGAAACCAAAATCAGAATGAAGTGTGGCATCTTTGAGTCTGAGGACTTTGACGTGCTAGTGGGCACAGAGCTGGTGTTTGCGGTGGGCATGACCATCTACACATGGACTGAAAAGGTGGAGTTCCGGACGCGGTAATGGAAGAAGGAGGGGCCGCTGGGAGAGCTGCCAGTACGATTCGTGAAGGTGGAGCCCAAGAGGGCGTACCAGGCCATGGCAGGACAGGAGACGAAGGCAGGAGAGGCAGGGGAGCAAAGGGGAGCGAGTGGGACCAAGGAAGGGCCCCGAATGAGAAGGATGGACAAGCCAAGGCGGCAGAGTAAGTGGCAGCAGCCCATCGGCTTGGTGGAGCTGTTCGGAGGGATTGGGGCGGGATTAGCAGCAGTGGTAAGAAGTGCGATTGCAGTGCAGAAGTGGGTATACGTGGAACAGGCGCCGGTGGTGAGGAAGATGGTTGAGCATCACGCTTGGAAGCTGCAGGCGGAATTCCCAGAGCTCCTAAGTGCGAGGGTGATCCGTGAAGCCATGAAGGGAAACAGCCATGATGTGGCACAGGTAACACAGGCAGAGTTGGCCAGCTGGGGGCAGGTGGATCTATT